AAAGTTATCACAAATCTATTAACACTAAGAATGGATTCAATTGACAGATAAGTCTATTCATCGGATGGTTCTGTGCGTCGGTTGCGGTCATCAGTGAACTGGACGTCGGTTTAGACCAACGACTGTCAGTTCCGGACGATTCCTATGTATTGCCATATTTTAACGCTCAGATGAATTCCCTGAGAGTGGGAGCGCCGGTATATTTCGTGGTTAAGGGTCCATACGATTACGCAAAGAAATACTATCTCATGTGCGGTGGTGTCGGCTGTTCAGCAAACTCTTTGCCCTCACTATTGATCGATGCGTCCAAACACTCGAACGTGTCTTATATCTCGAATACTGCTCCCAACAGTTGGGTCGACGACTATAACAGTTGGGGAGATAATAGCACCCGATGTTGTCGACTGCATAATAATAATGTCTCTGATTTTTGTGAATCAACAAACAGTAGGTTTAAAATTATCTACTATTATTACAGTGATCATAATGGTTAAACCGATGATAATAGGTAACCCTGATTGTTCTCATTGTCAAATATACAACACCACGTATTCCATTGTGAAGACCGAAGAGTTTTATCGACCATATCTCAAGTATTTCTTAAATGACTTACCAAACGCCCAGTGCTCTAAAGCGTATGGATATTCAATACAATTTGTGTACTATTTAAATACCTAACCATTTTATGTCCAAACCAGTGGTGGGCCGTCGTATGGACCATACGTTCATTTGGATTATAGTCATGACACAAAACTTCCCATAAAAGGTATGTTTGGATGAAATTCCGTTTGAAAAACAAATGCAATCTATAATTGAATCTTAAATTTAACTTAACTTTTGTCTTAAAGCCTCGTCTTTCAATACATACCATACGGTGCTTAAGAACTCTCATGACTTCATATCTGCCCTCAAAAACGCCAGGATATTAGCCGATAGTATGACTGAAGGTATCAATAGTGATAATAAGGGGGGTGACCCTCTAGTGGAGGTCTACCCCTACTCTATATTCTACGTATTCTACGAGCAATACCTGACCATCTGGAAGGACACTGTTGTCAATTTGGTGATTGCATTGTCGGCTATATTTGTGGTGACCTTCATATTCTTGGGTTTCGATGTGATGTCATCAGTGGTTATAATCATCACAATTGTTGCCATAATTGTAGACCTAATGGGAGTCATGTATTGGTGGAGTATATCACTGAATGCTATATCACTGGTCAATTTGGTTATGGTATGTATAGTTTGAATGATACTTATATTTATATGTCTAATACCTGTCCACTGTCTACCTGTCCAGTCGGTGGGCATATCCGTGGAGTTCTGTTCGCATATAACCCGGGGATACGTAATGAGCGAAGGGTTGACTCGAGTGGAGAGGGCGGAGGAGTCGTTGTCAGCGATGGGGTCATCGGTATTGTCGGGCATATCGTTCACCAAATTCTGGGGAATTCTGGTTCTGGGGTTCGCGTCGTCCAACATATTCAAGATCTTCTACTTTCGGATGTATTTATCGATTGTATTGATCGGTGCTCTTCACGGACTCGTCTGTCTTCCGGTTATCCTCTCATTCATCGGATCCAATCTGAGGCACCGGAAGGGAACTCCAATAGAATAGTATATCGTTTCTCAATAATCACTATTAGTTTAAATTGTATTTGTCAAAAATTAATAAATGCTTTATTTCACAAATAATTATAAAGTGTTTTATTTTTATTATAAAATTAACTTTTATTTCAATTCTTTTTATTAATATAACATTTAAATGAATAATTTATTTAAATTAAAATACACGTTGAAAATAATTTTCTGACATTTCCATTGAGCAAAACATTTGTTTGTTTGTAGTTTATTTACAAAAATTGTCATTTTTATATATGATTATCAGAAATAATATTTTTATAATTCAATAAACTTTTTGTTCAATTTCTCGTAATATAATATATTGACTCACATATAGGTCACAAAATAATTTCCATATATTTTATGATTAAAATACATTTTAGATTTAAAAGATAAATAATTGCTTATATAATTTCATATATGATTCAACAATTCATTGAATTATTTCGTTAGATATAAGTATATAAACGTATAAAATAAGTGATATCTCAATGAACTTATCGTTCAATCCAACCCATCATTATATGGATAGTTTATAAGTTAAAATACATTTTATGACAAAACCATTTCGCAAAACCACTTAATATGAAAACCAAATATTAAGTCTTTGTTCTGAATTATAACATAAATAAATGATATTTTGTTTCGTGTGGACAACAAACATACAAAAGTGTTTCCCAATAAATATCGACAATTTCTCAGCACTTTTGTTGATATGATAAATGCTTATCGGGTGATGGATTGATGGACACGACCGGCATCTGAGCGCCTGTATCGGTGACCGACGAGTCCTCCTCTATATAGACGGTATCCTTTTCTTTGCGAGGAATTACATTAGGCGTCACTCCGATTAGGAATCGCTGCAATCAGTTACAAGAATTGTAAATAATCTAGTTCATCTAATTGTAAATAATCTAGTTCATCTAATTGTTAATAATCTAGTTCATCTAATTGTTAATAATCTAGTTCATCTAATTGTTAATAATCTAAATATAGTTCAAAACCCTACAGAATCGTACAGAATCTTCTTGACTATAATAACATATTACGACAACTATTTGTATTTGATTAGTATATTACTAACCTCTTTGAGTGTTAAAGATTGATCCGTCTTATAAAAGAGGAAATACAGGGCATAGAATGGT